GGGAATGGCTGCCGCCCCACAGACGCGAGGCGGCGTTGTCCAAATTGAATCTGGACAAGTAGAACTTACAGCGGCTTGATGTTCGCTGCCTGCATGCCCTTCGGGCCACGCTTGACCTGGTAGCTGACGCGTTGGTTTTCCATCAGCGTCTTGAACCCTTCGCCGGTAATTTCCGAAAAATGCGCGAACAGGTCTTCTCCACCCGCATCCGGCGTGATAAAACCAAAACCCTTGCTGTCGTTGAACCACTTAACGATACCGGTATCCATGACGAATCCCTCAAAAGAAAAAATAAATGTTTCCGCTTTGGCGCGGCAGGACGGAAGCAATCAAGAGGGAGAGGACAACGAGCGTACCGCGTGGATCGCGGACTGATGATGAACAGCAATCAGACATCTTGAAGACTTCAAGCGCTGGACTATACGCGAACTGATGCGTTCGGTCAACCATTTTCGGTGCCGCTGTCGAGAAGCAAATGGCTTCGAGACGCAGTGCTTCGCCGAGCGGGCTACACCATACGATCCATGTTCGGTGAAAAACGCGGTCTCGATCGGTTTCTTCCGGTCAACGTACCAATCCGTGTCACCCCGCGGCATCACAACGACCACCGGCGCAATGTCCTTGTGCTCGAACAGCGCGTCGAGCGTCGCTGGCAGGCGTGCCTGCGTCATCCAGTCGCTCGGGTTGCGCCTGCGGTTCGGCGCGGACTTGCCGTACCGGAGCACCACGATACCGAATCCGCGCATCGGGCGACCAGCAGCAGCGCTGCGATTGCCACGGCATCAGCAATGAGCCCAAGCGGCACGTCGAGCAGCCCATCGGTCCACCAGTAGAGCACCGAATCGACACTGAGCGAAATCACCGTGCCAACGACGAAACACAGCAGTCCCTTACGGCCGAGCGCACCGACCCACGGCATCCAGCCGGCCAGACGCCGTATCCAGCCATATTGCGCCATGTTCGAGACCAGCCACGCAAGCGCAACAAAATTGACCACGCGAGGCCAGTGCAAATCGCGCTTCATCACCCCGTACGATGATAAATCGACATACAACTTGCAGTACGCGCACACGACAACAGTGGCCAGCGCGACGACGCTGACAATCCAGCCACCGCGCCAGCGATGCCAACGCGCCTGGGTCGGCTGGTAGCGTGCCAACACGCCGAACGTGAACATCGCTTGCCAAGCAAACGGGTTGAAATCCCATCGGTTCTCTGGCGCGGCCGGCAGCAGCCGGTACGCATCGCCGGCAAGCGCCCACAGTGCGAACGAGAGCACGGCCAGCAGCCACGGCCGGCTGCGCGCAAGCGGGACGATCACCGGTACCGCCAGCATGAAAAACACGTACATCGGCAATACCGACGCCAAGTACGGCTGTCGTCGAAGCAGCAGGATGTCGCACAGCACTGCCACCGGCGACGCGATCAGCCCGTCCAGGTCCGATGACGCCATGTTGGGGGCGTCAATACTGAGTGCACGCAGGATCGCGCTGACCAGTAGCATCAGGCCCGCGGTAACGAGGAACGCGCGATAGATTTCCCACGCGCGCCGGATGAAACGCCGGCGCGCCGCGGCTTCATCACGATGCTTGACGAGCAGGGTCCACGCTATCGCGGTGGCGTAGCCGCCAAGGAACACGAACACCTCGGCTGCATCGCACAGCGCGTACGTGTGAAGCGTGACGCGCGACAACATGCTGCCGCCGATATGATCGACGACGATGATCAGCAATACGAGGCCACGAAAAAAGTCGAGCTCGGCTAAGCGAGCTGTCGATGACTGCATCGATACGGGTCGGGGATGAATAACAAGAACGCGGGCCGGAGAGCCCACTGCGCGCCGCGCGGCCACTTGGCCCGCACGATGCGCAATCGGTACAGCCCGTATTATGCCATCGAGCTCCCACGCCTTTACGCGTCGCGCGCGGCCGGTGCCGCGTCCACGTCGGACTCGCGCGTCTCGGGCATCGCAAGCCATACCAGCAACACGGCCAGCGCCCCGGCCGCAGCCAGGCCGATGAAGCTCACGCCATTGCCGAACCGGTCCGCGGCCAATCCGGCCAGCATCGTGCTCAGCGTCGCGCCAATGCCCGCTGCAAGGCCGAACACGCCGATGCACAGGTTGTAGCGGCCCTTGCCGCCGGCCACGTCTGCCGCGATCAATGGCAGCATTACACCGAACACCGCCGCACTCAACCCGTCAAAGACCTGCACCGGCACCAGCAGGCTGGGTGTGGTAATGCCGGCGAACAGCAATGCGCGTACCGGCAGCGCGGTAAAGCCGAGCAGCAGGATCGGCCGTCGCCCCCATCGTTGCGCCGAACGGCCGACCCATGGCGAGAGCAGCGCGACGATGATCTGCGGCACGATAATGCACGCGGCAATCACCAGCTGCACGTTGTCCCCCATATGGGCGGTTACTTCGCCGGCGGCCAGGTTCAGCATGGCCGCATTGGACAAATGAAACAACACGATGCACGCGGCGAACGTCAGCAGGCGCCGGTCCCGCAGCAGCTCACCGATGCGCTCGCGCGGCAGCGATACCGACGGTACCGGCCGCGGCGGCTCAGGCGAGGGCCGGCATGCCGGCCGCGGCTTGCCCAGATGGAGCGGATCGATCATGTACAGCGTGACAATGGCTGGCAGCGTCAACGCCGCGGTCAGCCAGAAAACGGAGCGCACCGACACGTATTCGCCGAACAGTCCCATCAACCCGGCAGCCACCGCGCCGCCGATCGACGCAAAACGCGCGTTGCGGCCCAGCCGATCGCCCAGCGTGCGCCGGCCGACCAGTGCGAGTGAAATCGCCGCGAGCGCCGGCGTCAGCATGCAGCTCGCGAAGCCATGGAACACTTCCGCGGCCAGCACAGGAATCGTGGTCGGGCTGCCGGCGAGCAGCAGCGCGCAGATCGCAATCGCAACGATCGCGGCCATCGCTGCAGCACGCTTGTTCTGCATCGAGTCGATCAACGCACCGGCCGGCACTTGGCTGACCATCGCGGTAATCGTGCCGACCGACAGCGCAATGCCGATCTCCCCCTGGGTCCATTTATGCGTGGCGAGGTACGATGCGATGAACGGTCCGAACCCAGTCTGGACATTTGCGAGGAAGAAGTTCAGCCTGTCCAGCGCACGCAAGCTCCTTGCATCCGACATGACTGTCTTGTTCATCGGAACGCCCGCCCTGCCGAGGCTGCCGTTTGCGGCACCGTACCCGACGCGGCGCTCCCGCCAGCGGGCACGGCGCCAGCCGGTGCGGGCACCGCCGTGCCCGCTGGCGATACTGCGCGGATCGGCTGGTCGGCCGCATACAATGGCGATGCGTTGAGTTGCGCGTCCGACAAGTCCAGTAGCAGCTGGAGCGCCTTATCCCGCACCACAAAGCGCAGCGCCGACCAATCAGCGGCAATCCGGCGGCGATCCGGGCTGATCCAATTGCCCAGTTCGAGTACCGCCACCTGGGGCCGCAGCGCTGCGTCGATCAGCACGTCGACGATGCGCCCTACCTTCGAACCGTTCGTGCGCTGTACCATCGCATCCATCAGCGGCGCGGTGCCCGGCGACGGGCTGCACACCTGCGCCGGCTTGGCCGGGTCGATCATCGGCGTGCGCGACGGCACAAGCTCCAGCGCGTCCGTCACCCGGGGCCCGACCGGCCTGACACGCAGTGCATCGGCCGGAAAGTTCACCTTGCGATCACCAACGCCCATGAAACCGGTCAGGTTGACAACGATCTCACGCGGCGCCCCGTTCGTGTCGACCACCAAGTCCACCGCCCGGCCGATCATCTTGCCGTCCGGTCGTTGTACCTCGGTGTCGAGCAGTCCCTTGACTTGCCTCGGGTAAAGCAGTCGCAATGCAACCCGCGGTGCGGGCACCGGCCGCGCGGGTGGCTGCGCGGCCACCGTGACGCGCGGCGGCGGCCGGTGTGGGTTTTTCGGCGCAGCACGCTCGGCATCCGTCCTCGCTTCGCGCGGCTCCGGCTCGGGCAGTACGGGCGGCGCAGCCGGTTCCGACGACGCCGCGTCGAGTGCCGGCACGGGCTGCGCCGTGCCGTCGACGATTGGCGCCGGAACTTGCTGATCGAACGTGCTGCACGCGGCAAGCGCAGCGAGCATGACCAGCAAGCACAAATAACGCAGAGCCGGGACGGGATGATGCAGGCGGCAAGCGCGATGGAGAAAACCGCTCATCAGGGATTGGACAGATTGGCTCGCAGACGATCGCAGTGTAACATTCTGGTTAGTCTGGCCCTTTTTTAATGGACGATGCGGCGGCCCGCGGTGTCCGACTCAGCGCCGGTACGGCTCGGATTCTGCGTACAGCCGGTTAAACTCGGCGGCGTACGCGCTGGTCAGTGCCGGCGCGCCACGAAACACGTTGAAGTTTTCCGCGTTCTTGCGATCCCCCGCTCTCGTGAAGTTCATCGAACCAAACGCGACATGGTCGTCCGCAACGATGAACTTGTGATGCATGATCGAGTAGCGGGAATCGATCCGCACCTCAATACCCGCATTGAACAGGTAGGTCGCACCGCTATATTTGCCGGTCTGGTTGGATTTATCCAATACCACGCGCACCTGTACGCCGCGCACGCGTGCATTGCGCAGCGCTTTCGCGATGTCGGGTGACGTGAACGAATAGCCGGCCAGCCACACGCGGCGCTTCGCACCGCCGATCAGCGCCGCGGCTGCGGCGCCGGCCCCGCCGTTGGGCGAGAAATAAGTATCGACATTCGCATTCTCGACGCGCACCGGCGCCGCACGGACGATGGAGGTGGCGCACGCGAGCACCACGAGGCAATGGATCAGTGTTTTCATGGCCGGCGATTTTAGCTCCGGATGTCGATTCGGATACATCGTTCTCACGAAAAATTCTTTGACCCGCGCTGTGCGCAGCCCCTACGATAGGCGACTCTCGGCCCCGGGGGCTGTTTTGCCTGCCTTTACGACATCCGTGCTTACGACGCCTGCCTGGACATGCTATAATTGTCGGTTTCCGGAGAGATGGATGAGTGGTTTAAGTCGCACGCCTGGAAAGCGTGTATAGGTTAACGCCTATCGGGGGTTCGAATCCCCCTCTCTCCGCCATAAATTACTTTTAAATCAATCGTTTATCGAAATCTGGTTGCGGTTATTACCGTCAGAACCTGTTGATTTCCTGTAACTTCGCAATCGATTTGACACCGTTTAACAGCAGTTTTGTCACTCGACCGCAAGGGCGTTTTGCAGGGTATTTGTCACCACTTGGGTGAGTCCAAGCAGGTCGCCTTGGCTGACTGGCCCGTGCGGTCTTTTCGCAAGGCCACTATCACGCGCCCGGACAACCTGCCTGAGACGTTCAGTTTCGGATTCTGTCATGACCAGTTGCCTCGAGTCGGATCTGCTGGCGTGCTCGGGACAATAGTCGACCGTCTCGAGACCGCCGAGCGGCTTGCGAGCCTTGAAGTGAATCATTCCGCGTAGCTCGGCATGATCCCGGCAAAGCGGCATGTTGCAGGTGAACGGTACAGCACACGCCGCATATGCCCCCATCGATCGCCCGAGCCGGGAATCGCAAAACAACGTCGCCAGTTGCCCACAGTAGAAATGAGGAGCCGATCGATTTTGCGAATGCTTTGGCACTAAAACAACCCTCCTGTCTGCGTGCCCGGCTCCCAATTCGTGATCACCAGCTCGCGGCTCGTTGATTGGCCTTTGCCGGTTGCATTGTTTATGCAGTACTTGATAGACAAACCGAGCATCGGCAGACCGCAGAAGGCTCGCCGGATATCGGGATGGTCGTTGATGCTGACCATCATCTTACCCTTGCAGGCGCGCATCATAACCGCCATGCGCTCGTATTCCTCGAACGCAAATGGCACGCCGTACCCTTCCGTCTGCCAATACGGCGGATCGCAATAAAAAACGTATGTGCCCGGTCGTAGCGGCTCATGCACTCGCGCCAATGCATATTTTCAACGTACGTGCCCGCCAGCCGCAGATGCGCGGCGGACAGGTTTTCTTCGATCCGCAGCAGATTGACCGTGGGCGCGGTCGTACCTATCCCGAATGCCTGGCCATCGATCTTGCCGCCGAAGGTATGATGTTGCAAGTAGTAAAAACGGGCAGCGCGCTGAATGTCCGTTAGCGTCTCCGGCGGCGTGTCCTGCATCCATTTGAAAATCTGTCTGCTTGAAATCGCCCATTTGAACTGCCGCACGAATTCTTCGAGATGGTGAGTCACTACGCGGTAGAGGTTGACCAAATTGCCATTGATATCGTTGAGCACTTCGACTGGCGCGGGCACGGGACGCAAGAAAAAAAGCGCCGCTCCGCCACAGAAAGGTTCGACATAGCATTGGTGCGATGGGAACAGCGGTATCAGTTTATCGGCTAGGCGCCGCTTGCCGCCTAGCCAAGGGATGATTGGACTGGTGTTCATTGCACTACTTTGTGATTTATTTGAGCGAGGCTGCCGCCTGCCCGGCTGCTGCTGCTGTGCCTTCAGGCTTTACCACACGACCGCCTCCACCTCTGACACGCTGGCGGCAGCCTGAATTCGGGTAGCCAATTCAGCGTGTTTGCGCTGCTGCGCGGTGCGGAAAGCCACCCAATCCGCATTGACTTGCCGCACCTGCGCAGCGGTATGCGGCACGAACAACCCGTTCCCGTCGGCGGCACACCACAGCGGCACGGTCCATTGGGCATTTTGCCCTTGGGCGGCAAGCACGATGCTTAGGAGGTTGCGCTGATCGGTATCCGCCGATGGATAGAGATATGCGGTGCCTAATGCGGAACTGGTGAAGCCCGCCACGATGGCGCTTTGGCAGGCTGACGCGATGGCAGCCAATTGTCCTTGCCGCGCTCGGGCGAGCAACTCGGAGGGACTCGGCACGGGTATGGTCTTAACAGTCCATTTGCCTTTCGAAAACACCGCTACTTGGCCTTTGCCGGTATCCGGTGGGGCAATATCGGTGGCAAATGCGGGAATCAGAAAGACACCGGGCTCAAGCGGCGATGGATCGGCTTCGGAGCAGGAGACGAGTTCCCCGGTCTCGGGATGATAATTGTAGACGGTTTGGGTCATGGGCTTCTCCGGTCAGTATTTGATGCAGGCCAGCAAAGCAACGTTTCTTGGCCGCACAGCGCCAGCACACGATCCGTATGGCGCTGTATTGTACGAATAGGTGCCACCCAAGAAATGTTCGGTATTCTCGTACGTCGTAATGGGCTGCTCAATATTGCTGTCGCTGATTTTCCGCAGCGTTGCTCCGTTATCAATCGAGTAATGCCACCCGTTTCGATTCAGGTATGGCAGAGACGGATTGCCGGTGGCACCTAACACCTTCGATGCTGCTTGCTGCGAGCCAAACGAGCGCATTTTGTCAACGTCACGGCCATCGTCGAAGCCGCGGACAAACTCGCCGCGCAGGTCTGGCAGGTTGAAGGTGCCACTGCCCGCCCCAAAGGTAGTGCCGATGATGGCGAAAAGCTCCGCATATCTCGTGCGCGATACCGCCGCGCCGTTGCACTTGAGCCAGCCGTCCGGCGCGTAGGGGAAAGCGAAAAACGCGACTTGCCCAGTGATATTGCCAATCGCCCGCTGCACAGATTCCGTAGTTGCCATGTTACCTAGCGCCTGCCGCACGAATGCCGTAGTCGCTACCTTCGTGCTGCTGTCGGACTGCGACGGCGTTGGTGCAGTCGGCTGACCGGTTAGCACGGGCGATTCCAGCGGAGCCTTTCGCGCGAGCGCGTCGAGCAACAGCGTCGAGATTTGATCCATTCTGGATGAATCGAGTTCACCGCCGAACTGCTCTACGACGTTCTTCAACTCGGCCTGAATGACGTTCAGCCAACGCGCCTTGACAATCATGCCGTCAAGGTAGCCGACTGCCTCGGTGCCATCGCTGAATAACCCATCAGGGGTGTCGATCAACTCCATTCAAAACTCCTGATACGTAAAGATCGCCAGCGTGTGCGCCGGCTTCAGTTCATTGAACACGCTTTCGATGACCGGATCGGCCGCATACGTCAGCCGTTCGCCAGCGCGGCTCATGCCGGCGCGGAAGCGATAGGCGCGTACCGCGCCGCCTTGCACGTTGACGCGCCACACCCAGATCACGTCGAACACAGCGAGCCGCTGGCCGGCGCGGCCGCTGCCCGCCCGGCATGGCTGTGGCTCGTCGATCATGATCGTGTAGCCCATCCTTTTCGCCATCTGCACTAAATATGAGATAGACAAACTGCCCATCTCGGCGAGCTTCGAGAGCACGGCCTGCAACCGCGCCTGATACGGCGCGCCGCCCACGCCGGTCAAGCCACAGACCCGCTCCCAGTCCGCCAGCAGCGTATCAGCAAAGATCGGCGTCATGCCGCCCAGTACGCGGGCAGCATTGCCTTGTGCGGCGTCGAGCGCCGCGCCCTCAGCGGCGAGCTGTGCGCGAAGGCGAGGCTCAGTGGGAACGTAGCTGATGGGCGGCAACAAGCACGCGAGCAGATCAGCGTGCTTCATTTCATCAGGCTCACGGTGACAGTGCGAAGGCGACACCATTCGACGACGTTCGCATCGATGACCGGCACGATGTTCTCGGCCGGCACGGTCATCGCACGATCCATGACGCCTGACAGGTCACTCACGATCGCTTCCATCCGGCTCTTGACAACCGGCTCGCCTGGCGCAAGCGCGGCAAAATACGCGTCGAGCGCGGACTGAATCTTCGGGGTGAGGTCCGAGAGCGTCGTGCCAGCCGTCTTGACCGCGACCTTGACATCGACGGATTTGATGGTTGGCGCAAGCACGAGCGAGTTTTTCGCTGTGACCGGACGCACCGAGTCAATATGCGCCTGCACAGCAGCGATCGTATCTTTGGACGGAAGCCCCTGGGTGGCTGTGACGACCACATCCACGGTACCCAAGCCCCGACGCAGTGGATAGACGTAGGCAGCCGACACGCCGGGCACTTCCATTGCCCATCGGTAATAGTCGTACCGGTTGCCGCCGGCCGGCGGCCGCCGGATGTGTCGAAGTAGTCGGTCGAGCAGGCGGCCAAGCGTCTCAGTCTCAGAACCTGTCCTCAAAGAGAAGGTCGAAGGTTTTTAGCGATGCAGGAGGACGAAC